TTGAAAGTTAATAAGTTTTGTGTCATCAGTTATGGCCCTTGAAATCGAGTTAAAATATTCCCAAGATTCTTCACTAATATTACTATGGAGATCTTCTTGCCATTTTCTTTGACTATTCACCGGTATTTCAGAGATAGTTTGGAGAAGAATATGATAGAAATAATTAGTAACTTTATCATGTGTATTAAGATAGATTATTGATTTATAAGTTATATAAGGTATGTCACCATTTATATTCTGCAAAAGGTCAGTACATAATGTACTAATCAGATTTGGGGTCAAGAGTCTAATTTACAAAATTTAAAAAGAAACTGATCATTTTCAGATTGAAATAATTCCATAATGATCACTAGAAATCATCTCTCTAGCTGTCTAACTAGCTGTATATATAGGTAACTATATATATGACTAGTTGTCATAGTAACACCTACCTAACTGTCAGTCTGACTAGTTGTTTTTAGTAACAGCCTGCCTAAATGTCAGTCTGCCAATTTGTCTCAGTAACTACCTGCCTAACTGTCAGTCTGACTATTTGTCTCAGTAACTGCCTGCCTAACTGTCAGTCAGACAAGTTGTCTCAGTAACTATCTGCCAAACTGTCAGTCTGACTAGTGTCTCAGTAACTACCTGCCTAACTGTCTGTCTGACTAGTTGTCTCAGTAACTACCTGCCTAACTGTCAGTCAGACAAGTTGTCTCAGTAACTATCAGCCAAACTGTCAGTCTGACTAGTGTCTCAGTAACTACCTGCCTAACTGTCGGTCTGACTAGTTGTCTCAGTAACTACCTGCCTAACTGTCTGTCTGAATAGTTGTCTCAGTAACTACCTGCCTAACTGTCTGTCTGACTAGTTGTCTCAGTAACTATCTGCCTAACTGTCTGTCTGACTAGTTGTTTTTAGTAACTACTTGCCTAACTGTCAGTCTGACTAGTTGTTTTTAGTAACTGCCTGCCTAACTGTCAGTCTGACTAGTTGTCTCAGTAACTGCCTGCCTAACTGTCAGTCAGACAAGTTGTCTCAGTAACTATCTACCGAACTGTCAGTCTGACTAGTTGTTTTTAGTAACTACCTGCCGAACTGTCAGTCTGACTAGTTGTTTTTAGTAACTACCTGCCGAACTGTCAGTCTGACTAGTTTTTTTTAGTAACTGCCTGCCTAACTGTCAGTCTGACAAGTTGTTTTTAGTAACTACTTTCCTAACTGTCAGTCTGACTAGTTGTTTTTAGAAATTACCTGCCTAACTGTCAGTCTGACTAGTTGGCTCAGTAACTATCTGCCTAACTGTCTGTCAGACTAGTTGACTCAGTAACTACCTGCCTAACTGTCAATCTGACTAGTTGTCTCAGTAACTATCTGCCGAACTGTCAGTCTGACTAGTTGTCTCGGTAACTACCTGCCTAACTGTCAGTCTGACTATTTGTCTCAGTAACTACCTGCCTAACTGTCAGTCAGACAAGTTGTCTCAGTAACTCCCTGCCTAACTGTCAGTCTGACAAGGTGTCTCAGTAACTACCTGCCTAACTGTCTGTCCGACAAGTTGTCTCAGTAACTATCTGCCAAACTGTCTGTTTGACTAATTTTTTTTAGTAACTACCTGCCTAACTGTCAGTCTGATTATTTGTCTCAGTAACTATCTGCCTAACTGTCTGTCAGACTAGTTGACTCAGTAACTACCTGCCTAACTGTCTGTCTTGACAAGTTGTCTCAGTAACTACCTGCCTAACTGTCTGTCTTGACAAGTTGTCTCAGTAACTACCTGCCTAACTGTCTGTCCGACAAGTTGTCTCAGTAACTATCTGCCAAACTGTGAGTCTGACTAGTTGTCTCAGTAACTATCTGCCTAACTGTCTGTCTGACTAGTTGACTCAGTAACTACCTGCCTAACTGTCTGTCCGACAAGTTGTCTCAGTAACTATCTGCCAAACTGTGAGTCTGACTAGTTGTCTCAGTAACTATCTGCCTAACTGTCAGTCTGACTAGTTGTCTCAGTAACTATCTGCCGAACTGGCAGTCTGACTAGTTGTCTCAGTAACTACCTCCCTAACTGTCAGTCTGACTATTTGTCTCAGTAACTATCTGCCTAACTGTCTGTCAGACTAGTTGACTCAGTAACTACCTGCCTAACTGTCTGTCCGACAAGTTGTCTCAGTAACTATCTGCCAAACTGTGAGTCTGACTAGTTGTCTCAGTAACTATCTACTGAACTGTCAGTCTGTCTAGTTGACTCAGTAACTACCTGCCTAACTGTCAATCTGACTAGTTGTCTCAGTAACTATCTGCCGAACTGGCAGTCTGACTAGTTGTCTCAGTAACTACCTCCCTAACTGTCAGTCTGACTATTTGTCTCAGTAACTGCCTGCCTAACTGTCAATCTGACTAGTTGTCTCAGTAACTATCTGCCTAACTGTCTGTCAGACTAGTTGACTCAGTAACTACCTGCCTAACTGTCTGTCTTGACAAGTTGTCTCAGTAACTACCTGCCTAACTGTCAGTCAGTAACACCTACCTAACTGTCAGTCTGACTAGTTGTTTTTAGTAACTACCTGCCGAACTGTCAGTCTGACTAGCTGTTTTTAGTAACTACCTGCCTAACTGTCAGTCGGACTATTTGTCTCAGTAACTATCTGCCTAACTGTCAGTCAGACAAGTTGTCTCAGTAACTACCTGCCTAACTGTCTGTCCGACAAGTTGTCTCAGTAACTATCTGCCAAACTGTGAGTCTGACTAGTTGTCTCAGTAACTATCTGCCGAACTGTCAGTCTGACTAGTTGTTTCAGTAACTGCCTGCCTAACTGTCAGTCAGACTAGTTGTCTCAGTAACTGCCTGCCTAACTGTCTGTCTGACTAGTGGTCTCAGTAACTGCCTGCCTAACTGTCAGTCAGTCAAGTTGTCTCAGTAACTATCTACCGAACTGTCAGTCTGACTATTTGTCTCAGTAACTGCCTGCCTAACTGTCAATCTGACTAGTTGTCTCAGTAACTATCTGCCTAACTGTCTGTCTGACTAGTTGCCTCAGTAACTACCTGCCTAACTGTCAGTCAGACAAGTTGTCTTAGTAACTATCTACCGAACTGTCAGTCTGACTATTCTGCCTAACTGTCTGTCTGACTAGTTGTTTTTAGTACCTACCTGCCTAACTGTCAGTCTGACTATTTGTCTCAGTAACTATCTGCCGAACTGTCAGTCTGACTATTTGTCTCAGTAACTATCTGCCAAACTGTCAGTCTGACTAGTTGTCTCAATAACTATCTACCGAACTGTCAGTCTGACTAGTTGTCTCAGTAAGTATCTGCCGAACTGTCAGTCTGACTAGTTGTCTCAGTAACTGCCTGCCTAACTGTCAATCTGACTAGTTGTCTCAGTAACTATCTGCCGAACTGTCAGTCTGACTATTTGTCTCAGTAACTACCTGCCTAACTGTCAGTCAGTAACACCTACCTAACTGTCAGTCTGACTAGTTGTTTTTAGAAACTCCCTGCCTAACTGTCAGTCTGACTAGTTGACTCAGTAACTACCTGCCTAACTGTCTGTCCGACAAGTTGTCTCAGTAACTATCTGCCAAACTGTCAGTCTGACTAGTTGTCTCAGTAAGTATCTGCCGAACTGTCAGTCTGACTAGTTGTTTTTAGAAACTCCCTGCCTAACTGTCAGTCTGACTAGTTGTCTCAGTAAGTATCTGCCGAACTGTCAGTCTGACTAGTTGTCTCGGTAACTACCTGCCTAACTGTCAGTCTGACTAGTTGGTTTTAGAAACTACCTGCCTAACTGTCAGTCTGATTATTTGTCTCAGTAACTATCTGCCTAACTGTCTGTCAGACTAGTTGACTCAGTAACTACCTGCCTAACTGTCAGTCTGGCAAGTTGTTTTTAGTAACTACTTGCCTAACTGTCAGTCTGACTAGTTGTTTTTAGTAACTGCCTGCCTAACTGTCAGTCTGACAAGTTGTCTCAGTAACTACCTGCCTAACTGTCAGTCAGACTAGTTGACTCAGTTACTAGGTATATACTTGCCCCTGTTTGACATTTTTTGTCTGGGTAGAATACATACCTCTTCATGAGACCGGAATGAAGAAGAACATCTATGATGTCATTGCCAACTCCGTCTGTGCCCTCGGACGACCCTACCATGAAGTGCAGTACACACTACAATACATAATATTCATGCAATACACTGTACTACACTTAAACACATTATATGTTGTTTTTTGCAACAAACACATTGTATTATACTGAATCATTATGTATTGAACCAAACATAATGTATTGTACAACAACATACAGAATACATAGTATTTAAACACATGAGCCCTTGTATTCCACTATAAACCAGGATATTTTACATTGAGAAATAATTTGAAGAACTCGTCTGAAAACAATCTACCACTAGAACTTCAAGGATCACTTCTGCATTTTTGCGGTACATATTAAACAATAATTGTACATACGCTTACAGCATAGCTGAATAAACATCGATTTTGTGGACAACTCTTGCACATTTTACACCTTTGTGTGCATACGCTTCACTGGTCATTTGTCTGATGAAGGTGACAGTGTACATATCGTACTAGTCATCGAAACATCACATAGAAAATTTTATTGGTTGTGTAAAAAGATTTTTTCATAATCCATACTTTCCAACCGGAAGATTTTTTTTAGAAATATTACTTCTGTTCCTTACATATTTATTTCATCAATCTGGTCAGTTTGTGACATCACGCACTGACAAAGTCAATTTCTGATACAGAGCTGATAGAGCACTTTTCTACGATTCAAACTGAATTACCTCCCATCTCTCCAAGGCATACTTGTCCAGGAATGGGATGTCCTTGGCATGTTTATCTGGAACCAAGGCTCCACCACCAATCCATGCTCTCTCCCTTAAAGTGTAACATACACATAATGTACAAACAATACAATCCATGCTCTCTCCCTTAAAGTGTAACATACACATAATGTACAAACAATACAATCCATGCTCTCTCCCTTAAAGTGTAACATACACATAATGTACAAACAATACAATCCATGCTCTCTCCCTTAAAGTGTAACATACACATAATGTACAAACAATACAATCCATGCTCTCTCCCTTAAAGTGTAACATACACATAATGTACAAACAATACAATCCATGCTCTCTCCCTTAAAGTGTAACATACACATAATGTACAAACAATACAATCCATGCTCTCTCCCTTAAAGTGTAACATACACATAATGTACAAACAATACAATCCATGCTCTCTCCCTTAAAGTGTAACATACACATAATGTACAAACAATACAATCCATGTTCTCTCCCTGGGAGTATAAACATAAACATATGAACATAAACTTCATAATTATGTAGTCCTTAATGAAAAAATTCTTTTAGAAAGATGAACAGCTAAAACATGAAAAACAAGAGGACCAGGGGCCTTAATAGCTCACCTGGTATTTTATTTTTCAATTTAAAACCTGCTGAGTACCATTCAGGTTTATCAAAGGAGTACAAGAACTACATATTAATCTGTTTTGGTGGGAAAGAACAAGTTTGGTTAGGATAAAATACCTTCAACAGTACAGAAGGAGAAGGATCTTTAATGTTTTCCTCTATTTCCCCTAATGGGCCCCACTCATCTGCCCCAAAGAGGGGGTTCACAAACCTCGGTTTAAACAAAATTGATTCTTTTGTCCCTAAGCATGCTTCAGACTGCATTTGGTTTAAATCTCTTCACTTGTCTTGTAGGAGAAAAAAATCCTCTATTTCCCCTATTTGGCCCCGCCTTATGCCCCCAGAGGGCCCACCCCCTCCGTGTATACAAACTTGAGGCTCCTTTGTCCAAAGATGCTCTAGAACAAATTTGGTCAAAATCCTTCTATTGTTTGAGAAGATTTTTTTTTTTTTAAAGATTTACCTCTTTTCCCCCTATTTGGCCCCGTCCCTCTGCCCCCAGGGGGACCATACCCTCCATTTATACAAAACTGAGAACCCATTGGCTAATGATGTTCCAGACCAAATTTGGTCAAAATCCCTTCATCGGTACAAAAGGAGAAGGATCTTTGATGTTTTCCTCTATTCCCCCTAATGCCCNCCGCTCCTCCGCCCTCAGAGGGGCCACACTCTCCATTTATACAAACTCAAGTTTCCTTTGTCCAAAGATGCTCTAGGACAAATTTGGTCAAAATCCTTCTATTGGTTGAGAAGAAGAAGATTTTTAAAGATTTACCTATTTACCGCCTATTTGGCCCCGCCCCTCTGCCCCCAGGGGGACCATACCCTCCGTTTATACAAAACTGAGAACCCTTCGGCAAATGATGATCCAGACCAAATTTGGTCAAAATCCTCTGAGCCGTTCAGGACTAGTAGTGTTTTAAAGGAAAAAGTTGACGGACGACGGACGCTGCGGCTTGGGATAAGCTCACCTGGCCCTTCGGGCCAGGTGAGCTAAAAACCCACTGGAATTAATACATTTTACACTTGTTTTTCACATAAAACTCTGAACAATGAAAACTTTTGGAATTGACAATGTCTTCTGCCATCAATATTAAAATTAAAATCACTGAAGAATATCAAATTTTAGCTGTTTATATACTGAGTCGTTGTGGTAGTAGAATATCTGATTGGATTGTGGACTCTTTTCCAAAATTGTGATAATGAAAAGATTTTTGTCATAAATTTGAAATAAAGTAGGCTGTTTTTTTCAATAGTGTGTACTGGTATTAACATTATGCCAACCATTACAGGATGGTTAGAAGTAAAATAGTATACACACCCTCCCAACAGGGCTACCCTCATGTTCTGTCTAAAGGTGGGGCTGAGTGTCCAGCCAGGCAGGTCCCCGACCACACTCTGTTCCTGCCATACCCGCAGTTCTGACAACACTCGTGCCGATGTCTTGTGCTCACTGAAACAGATCAAACTATCATAACGGACTCAAGGTAGACATTAATAAAGAAACTGGAACTAAAACTTGGAATGCTAACACTGGGAATTGTGTTCCACAATTATCATTTTATACAAATAGAAATTAAACTTTTCATTTAACATTTTGGTCATATATAGATACAAAGATGTCATTGTTTTTACAACGAAAGTCACCCATATTTGTAAATAAAATTCTAACATCAAAAGTTCTTAACAATGTGCAGACTAGACAAAATCAGGGGCCTGAGTTGCCTGCAATTTTCTTCATTTCCTAAACACACATACCAAAACGGTTTTCAGGGATATTTCTAGTCGCTGAGTCTAATCTATGGTAATTGTGACAGCACAATTTTGTTCACTTTTTCTGTGACAAGTTAAACATGGAATATACACAGGATTTTCTGCAAGTGAACTATGTAAATTGGGGTCTGTTAATTGCAGTGTAACAAACTGCACCTGACCAAATAAATGTCTCGCAAAAATACATTTTCTCAGGTAAAAATACTTAAAACTCTTTAAAAACTTTGGTTGGGCAAATAAGGAGAAAAAATATAAATCAATTTTCAAACAGATACTCCTAAAAGTAGTTTTATTTGCTCATACTACTAATGAACACTACAATTCACTATAGAAAAGCCCTATACAAACCTCAATAATGGAAAGACAAGAAACAGGGGTACAGCTGATGAATGCCATCTTTCAGTAGTGTTACAGGTGGAGATAATGTAATGGAACCAAAACATATATAACCCCTGGTAAGTATCTGTAATATCATACAACTGATCCGTTAGCTTGTACTGTACCATTAGGTTCCCTGTCTACTTGTATTGTGGAGTGACAGCACTTACTCCTGGTGTTTATTGGTGACCCACAGGGCTATGACAGTCTGAGACACGGCCTGCTCCACAAACAACATCCTCATCACATAGTGCTTGGATAGCTCTGGCAGCTCGCTACAACAAATTGGAAAAGTTGAAATAATAACAGGCAAATAGTATTGTTTGGTTTCCTTTTGTGATGAAAACAAATTCCAAACCACTTATGATACCACTGTTTTGCTTCCCTCAAGAGAACCATTTCAGTTATTTGTCTAAGACTAGCAATCTAAGGGACTCCAACAATCTGACTGCGAATGTTTTGTTTTAAAGCTACATTGAACACATCTCAGAAACCCCTTTCTGATTCACGCTAATCAGTCTCAAATATTCTGTCTGACTTTATTTCTAGACTAACATATCTCTAAGAAACACTCTTGCGTAATGGAACTTGACAGGATTTTTTTCTGATCACCAGCAAATAGGTAGATCAGTTGCTTACATAGCCGGGCACCTCTTCTAAGTTTGGAGGTTAAAACAGATAAGAATCTAAGAATCCTGCATAAAGCTTCTTAATTTCAACTTTTTCTAATTATATGGGGTTCATGACCCCCTCTCCGCCTCCCACATCGCTTTGTCTCACATTTTAGGCAATAACACTATGACAATATGTAAAAAATGATAATTTTCGGTAAAAGATGATAATTTCGGTAAGTTAGACCCGTGTGATTAACTTACGACGTCCTGTCGTCCGAAGACAGCCATGTATATTTTGATTATCTAGGTATTTCCCTAGCAGCACTTCTGTGATATTTTGTGCCATTGTTTTCATTGGTTACTTAGAATACTCTTTACTTTAATAACTGTACATTTCTGTGTGCAATTCAGATATATTGGCGCAAGTTTTTCACATGCATTTTGACTCACTTAAATCGTATAAAGCACATTGCGCTAGGATAATTCTTTAGTCTGTAAAAGCCCACTCGGCAGCTGACAGACCATTTAGATCCTTATAGGTATTTCTGCTGCATTATAAATACTAGATGTTGGACAATGAAATAGTGGTTATATAGCTACATGTACATGTAGGACATATTCAGTGGGCGCAACTGTAGGTGTGGTGGCCTATCAATGAAGGGTTATACTTCATCACTAGATATGGAAACATCAACTAGTTTTTTTTTAAGCAGTTTCACGTTTGTAACTAAACCTGTAAGTGGCCTGGGATACATAAAGTATTTCGGGGCATGGTACAGTCTCAACATAAAATAAGTAGTACAGTTGTACATAACTTTAACTACCAGGTAGATCAGATTCAGTTCCTGTAAGTATTGTTAGCTTTATCATACTGGTATAACTAGATTCTGGTAGTAAGTATTGTTAGCTTTACTATAATGATATAACTAGAGTCTGGTGGTAAGTATTGTTAGCTTATATTACTGGTATAACTAGAGTCTGGTGGTAAGTATTGTTAGCTTTATTATAATGGTATAACTAGGGTCTGGTGGTAAGTATTGTTAGCTTTATTATAACGGTATAACTAAAGTCTGGTGGTAAGTATTGTTAGCTTTATCATACAGTGTTAAGTGTACATATCTAAGCATTGCTAGCTTTAGTTATAATGGTATAACTAGAGTCTGGTGGTGAGTATTGTTAGCTTTATATTACTGGTATAACTAGAGTCTGGTGGTAAGTATTATTGGCTTTATTATAATGGTATAACTAGAGTCTGGTGGTAAGTATTGTTAGCTTTATTATAATGGTATAACTAAAGTCTGGTGGTAAGTATTGTCAGCTTTATTATAATGGTATGTGGGAAAATGGGTCATAAGCCTATTACTGCTTTATATATTTACTGTTGTCTTAGTGTATTCCCCTAATACCATTCTATAAGTACCCTAACGGGTACGGTAGGGCTATTCGTTCGGCGTATGCTTCCCGTCGAATAGCAGCTATCGCCGGTGCAGTCTGTTTGTTTACATGGGTGTAAGCTTTTGAGACGACCGGATTTTTGGTGAGTTGCCGGAAGACGTTCCGACCTCACTAAGCATATGCCGTAGATTTGGCCAATCAGAATGGGTGTGCGGACACAGGTTACATAGGACCGGGAGGCTGGGGTATAAAAGGGGATGCACGGGCCAATTCGGGGACTTGCGTGGCCGGAAATCCGGCTATATCAGGAGAGGAAAACCTCTCCACCCAGGCGCTGAAACCAGTGCTACCACCCAGGCGCTGAAAACAGTGCTACCACGTTAGGGAACGTTAAGGCTGGTTATTTGAACGTATATATATCGGTGTTCTGGGAGGGGTTGGTTTTCAACGACATAATTACTTATATGCCTTATTTTATCCCGTGGGGGACTGATATATGTAATTATATGTAGTTTTACCAAACATACGTTCTTTTCTATACACTGTTGGTTTTGTTCCAGTGCTACCACGTTAGGGAACGTTAGGACTGGTTAGTTGAACCAGAGACGTATAATTGAACGTATATGTGTTTCGGGAGGGGTTGGTTTTTACCGTCGTTATTACCTATAGGCCTTATTTTACCTCGTGGGGGCTGATATCTATAGGATTACTTAATTAACATACATTCTTTTCTACACACTGTAGTTTTGTTCTGTCTTGTATTATATGCTACTGTTATTAATGTACGTATTGTTTCCCGTGTTTTTAACGGCTACCTTAGCCGTGTGATATGCAATAAACGTTAGTTAACTTTAATTGAAACAAGGTGTTGATTGATTTATAACTCGGATACTCCTCCACATCTGACGGACCTTTGTCTGACTGTACAGACAGATGCAAAAGGGACGTTCTTGGGGATTGCCGCCGGCCAGCTTGTCGGTAGATTTAGGGAAAACATAAATAACTATACGATCACTTTCATCTACCGACGCTGGACAGGCTCTCCCCACGGACGTCCTATTACAGGTATAACTAGAGTCTGGTGGTAAGTATTGTTAGCTTTATTATACTAGTATAACTAGAGTCTGGTGGTAAGTATTGTTAGCTTTATCATACAGTGTTAAGTGTACATATCTATACAGTGTTATGTGTACGTATTTAAGTATTGTTAGCTTTATTACAGAGGTACAGATATTTGGGGTTTGTTATCAGCTTTGATTGGAAGTTAATGTCACCCTCTATTTAGATAATAGTTATGATATAAAGCCTGACTTAAAAATAGGATTACACAAATGAACAATTTGATCATCATTGGTTGAAGCTTAAACAGTTATATCTCATTTTGTGGATTTTCATGCTGAACAAACTAAATGATAATGTGAATTAGTATTTATACCTTAATAAATATCTTTCATTGTACCAGTATATTTCTTTGTTGAGTGTGTCTTAGCTGCATTAACGTTCAATTCTTATATATTACACTCCTGAAGGAAGGACGGAACCCTTATACACGGACCTATCCTGAACTTAACCAGGTGGCGATACAGGTTGAAACCTTTGCCATTTACTACTCCAACAGCGAGATACTTTTGACAGTTGCGCCGCAGTCGACAAAATCATATCCGATAGAAAAAAGGCCGACCACCAGTCTATTTTGTTATAGGAGTATTGCCATTTACATAAAATTTCAATCACAGCACAGGAGCCTGAAATTCTGTCAAAAATTAATGATAACTGTAAACAGTAATACAAAAAATAACTATGACATGCCATCGGTATTTTTGTTTTGTATTACTGTAATTATTATTTTTTGACATAATTTCAGGCTCTTGTGATCACAGTAAGCTCACAATGTAGCTATTGTACCTATTGCATCTGAGTGGTGCCTCAACATCTACGACAGAACAAAATGACTCTAGTTCGACCTATTACGTACCGGAAAACCGCCAAACATGTTGCTGGGTGGTTATATAGATTATCCAAAATGTCAGGCGGTAGAGTCTTGAGATAGCTGTGCAAATCTTTACAGTCTAGTGTTTTTTTAGCTACAGCAGACAGCCCGGCCATGCCTGCCTAGCTGTAGGTCTATTTTCACCTCCGTTAAAAAAGAGTTCGTACAATTAATTTGAACATGACTTAAATTTCCCACCTATTGATGGATATTCAAACCAATAATTAAGAATATCTGTTGTAAAATTTATATATGAGATATCGGCATATTACGACCAAATGAATTTTGACTGCCTGTTCAACCAATCCCTAATGTTACCCTCTTTGTTTCCGAGCGAGAACGACAACATCACTCTTCGGTCATTGAAGGTGTGAAAGTATATCCAATATGTCAGCGCCCATGTCATCGGTTTGTGTTTCAAGAGTTTGTTATAAAAAGTACGGACTTTTGACAAAATATTCTTGTTGGCACAGAAAAGTGTCACACAGAAACTTTGAAGCGCTAGCAGAAAGAGAAAGTTTGGTTGATTCAGGACAATTATTTTATTGCAAAAAATGGAGACAGAAATCGAGCTATGCCGGGTCCTGCAGGCGGTTGCATTGTCGTGTAATATCCTATGCAAATGCCGATGGGCTCAATGATTCACCAAGCAAAACATTGAAGACCAAAAAACAGGTGATTCTTACTATTTTAAATGTTAACACAAGTCATAGATTCCTATTCTTCATCGCCGGCCTGATGGACCCAGTTGACCTACAAACGGTGATAGAGAGAGATCATTGTAGGGTTTTAAACGTAAACAAATGTATTGCACATTAGGTGTAAATCTAAATAGTCTTCTACATCATCAGTAAAACAATACCTAATTTGTACCCAACTTACGCTGGTTTGTAAATATCAAGGTATTGTAAAGTTGACAAGGCTTTTGTTTTACTCGACATACCCAGGATTCTTCTTCTTCTTCTTCCTTTAATGGAGAATACTCTATCTAGAGTGTTGAGTTCTCCAGCGCGACTTATGCCGACCGCAGCTAAAACTTCCGTATGTACAGTTTAAAAGAGGTAAAAACAGTGGGTACTCTACATAGCGTATTGGTGGTCGGCTGCCTCGTACTATACGAGGGCGTGCCTGAAGCTGTCCAGGGTGGGAGATGATCGTATGTCGGGCGGGATTGCGTGATGATGGTACGTGGTACAAACGAGTATCGGTATGTGTCGAGCTTTGTTGGAATTTGTCGTATGTTGTTAGCAGTAGCTCCTCTGGTTCTTCCTGATGTTACGGTAATGTCCTCAACCAGATTGTTGATAATTTTGTAGAACATGAGCATCCTGTTTCTGGCTCTTCGTTGCTCTAGTGGCTCCAAAGCTAGTTGACACAGCATGTTTGTGATACATCCTGGTTCTATGTTGAGGTAGTCCCCTGTGGCGAATCTGGCAGCTTGTCGCTGGACTTTCTCAAGTATTGTTATCTTCAGTTTTACTCGACATACCCAGGATTGTTATCAGAACTGTCATCTTGAGTTTTACTTGACATACCCATGATTGTTATAATACTGACATCTTTAGTTTTACTCCACGTACCTAGGATTGTTATAAGTACTGACATCTTTAGTTTTACTCCACGTACCTACGATTGTTATAAGTACTGACATCTTTAGTTTTACTCAACATACCCATGATTGTTATAAGTACTGACATCTTTAGTTTTACTCCACGTACCTAGGATTGTTATAAGAACTGACATCTTTAGTTTTACTCGACATACCTACGATTGTTATAAGTACTGACATCTTTAGTTTTACTCAACATACCTACGATTGTTATAAGAACTGACATCTTTAGTTTTACTCAACGTACCTAGGATTGTTATAAGTACTGACATCTTGAGTTTTACTCAACATACCTAGGATTGTTATAATACTGTCATCTTTAGTTTTACTCGACATACCTACGATTGTTATAAGTACTGTCATCTTGAGTTTTACTCAACATACCCATGATTGTTATAAGTACTGTCATCTTGAGTTTTACTCCACATACCTAGGATTGTTATAAGTATTGACATCTTGAGTTTTACTCCACATACCTAGGATTGTTATAAGTACTGACATCTTGAGTTTTACTCAACATACCTAGGATTGTTATAATACTGTCATCTTTAGTTTTACTCGACATACCTAGGATTGTTATAAGTACTGACATCTTTAGTTTTACTCCACATACCTAGGATTATTATAAGTACTGAAATCTTTAGTTTTACTCAACATACCTATGATTGTTATAAGTATTGTCATCTCAATTATGCCTAAAGTAAGCTTTATTTTATTTTGTATTTGTAGATATTGGATAATAATATGATGAAATGAGCAACAATGAAAAGCATCCCTCTTATACAAAATACTTGTCATGAACTTTTTAACTGTTCCATATGACACATTTCTTTTTCAGAATGGCAACAATACTGAGAAGACTAGACACCAAGCAACATATGATATACCAACACCACCTGGTCAGAAGAAAGGTAGGCTATACATTTGTTTAGCTCTACTGTCCTCGAGACTCCAACAAACTCACCACCTGCTTGATAACTGATCATTTGACCTGATAAAAGGTATTGACCAAAACAGACTTGGATTTCTTAAATGTTACAAAGGATAAAATTCCTTCCTTGATATGCCACTGCATTATTATTATGCCCCGCTTTCACCGAAATGGGGGACATTAATTTGGGTCTGTCTGTCTGTCTCAGTGTCCGTCCGTCTGTCACGCTTCGTTTCCATGCAATAAATACAACAAATATCAACCGATTTTTTTTCAAACTTGGTCACATGGTTAAATGCCTTAAGGGCTTGGCCAAGTTCGATGACCACTTTCAACGGACCCCATTTGGCAGAGTTATGGCCCGAATAACGAAAAACGTAATTATCTGCTGGGCTTTGTTTCTGTGCAATAACTACAACAAATGTTATTCGATTTTCTTCAAAAAAAATATAGGGATATTAAGGGACTGCAAATTCAACCACATAGGTTTCGTTGCTTTAGCAACCACACAGAGGCTTCTGGTTGGTCGAAAATTAGATATTGTTCGATTTTGATGAAAATTGGTATCTGGGGGTATAAGGGACTGTGAATTAAACTGCAAAGGTTTCGTTGCCATAGCAATCAAATGGAGGCGCTTGTGATTGGTCAAATTTAGATATTGTTCGATTTTGATAAAAATTAGTATATAGGGATATTAGGGGACTGTGAATTCGTCCGCATAGGTTTCGTTGCTATAGCAACCTTATAGCAACCACACAAAGGCTTCTGATTGGTGGAAATTCAGATATTGTTCGATTTTGATGAAAATTGGTATATAGGGTATAAGGGGACTGCAAATTCAATCGCATATGTTTCATTGCCATAGCAACTACATGAAGGCTTCTGATTGGTCGAAATTTATCTATTTTTGGATTTTCATGAAAATTGGTATATAGGGGTATTAGGGACTGCGAATAAAACCGCATTAGTTTTGTTACCATAGCAACCACACAGAGGCTTCCGATTGGTCGCAATTTAGATATTGTTTGATTTCGATGAAGATTGGTATATAGGAGTATTTGGGGAACGGAAATTCAATCGCATATGTTTCGTTGCCATAGCAACTACACAGAGGATTCTGATTGGTTGCAATTTAGAAGTTGCTCAATTTCACTCAAATTTGGTATGTACATTGTAGGTGTACTATGGCAATGCGATCCTTTTCTGATGCATCTTTGTGACTATGGGGGCAGTTTGGGGGACATCTGTAATGCACATCCAACTCCATCCATTCCTTATTCACATCCAACTCTACTAAGTTTGCCAACCGATGTGTTTTGTGCATATACATGTACACGGATAATCAATGAGGTATAGGTTGGGTTTTTCCCTTCAAGTTTCAAGCTATACATTATGTCTCAACAGCACGATACTCACATGTTTAAACCTAACCTCAATAATGTTAACCTACAATATGTCCTGCAGACAGGGGATATAAATTCCACTAATTTGCTTGTTTATTACTTTACATCAGTATTTATAATTTCAGACACAACAAGCGCTCTGCCCAGCGCTTACAGTTCTGAGTTTGTGGAAGCAGCTTGGTATGCCTGGTGGGTACAGCAGGGCTACTTCAAGCCTGATACCAAGGTGTGAAAAAGTATTAACATCTGTTAACATAAACATACCACATAAACACACTCACAGTTTCCTGTATCATACTGCAGTGAACTCCTGATGTAGCCCCCCACCCCCACCACCCAACACACATGTATATTAAGGAATACGGAATAACCAAGATGATTATATGCACAGTATTTACCAAAAGAAATTACTGTGTGCACTTCGCAAAAAATCAATCACGGCTAATCACAGAAGTACACTATGTTTACTGGTATTATTCCTTACAATTTTGTGCAAGAAGACAGACATTTTGTTTTTTTATTTACCAAAAACCCTTACTGAAGCAAGATGTTTAAAAAGTAGCTCTAGTCTAAGATGTCACCGCTTTTTGTGTTTTTTAAAGTTATACAACATAATCTGAAAAAGCACTTCGTTGGAGTCATAAACAAATTTGAATTATATGTATATTTATGACTGACAAATTGTTATAAACTTTATTCTGTAGCATCCTTACTCAGTTATCTCCCTTGTATTAAAACCTGGAGAGATGAAGGCAGTAGCTAGTGTTATTTGTGTATTTGTAAGGTGAGATCCGGGGTGGAGAGTGACAGGTTTGTGATGTGTCTGCCCCCTCCCAATGTGACAGGCACGCTACACTTGGGACATGCCCTCACCTGCTCCATCCAGGACGCTATTGCTAGGTGGTATGTATCCTCTTAATCCACTAGTTATGTCATTATTACCTAATTACTCCTGGGTACTACTGTTTACAAAGTACTGTTGAATTCAAATAATCAATCAATCATAAAAATAAAGATGATAACATATAATTTTGTGACTGAACAAGTACCTGATCCTGATGTATGGTCACTGTAGAGTGTACATTTGTTGGTGATGTAACAGGCACAGGATGAAGGGGCGGTCCGTGTTGTGGATCCCAGGATGTGACCATGCAGGCATTGCCACCCAGGTCGTTGTAGAAAAACGACTCGCACAGGAATGTGGAATCTCACGACATGATATAGGCAGGGAACACTTCATACAGGAGGTGTGGAAATGGAAACAAGAGTAAGTACAATCAGGCCTACTGTTATACTACCAAACAGAAGTGTGTCAACTTTCCAAAACTCAAAGAAGAAACATATAATATCATTGACACTATTCCACAAACTTGATACACTCAGGGAGATAGTGTGGATTTAAGTGTTGTATATACATATATATCAATATATCTGTATAGGTACATCTACTCAGGGAGATAGTGTGGGTTAAAGTGTTGTATACACATATATATAATTATATCTGTATAGGTACATGTGCTCAGGGAGATAGTGTGGCTTTTAGTGTTGTATATACATATATACCAATATATCTGTATAGGTACATCTACTCAGGGAGATAGTGTGGGTTTCAGTGTTGTATACACATATATATAATTATATCTGTATAGGTACATGTACTCAGGGAGATAGTGTGGATTTTAGTGTTGTACTAATATCTTTATATTCAACGCTTGGTAAAAGTATTAGTTATTTATAAGTTGTATATAAAATAAAATGTATTTGATGTGTGTTATCAGTTAACCATACAGTAGTTATTATTGCCTGTTTGTGGTATCAGTTAGCCATACAGTAGTCATTATTGCCTGTTTATGGTATCAGTTAACCATACATCAGTAATTATTGCCTGTTTGTGGTATCAGTTAGCCATACAGTAGTCATTATTGCCTGTTTGGGGTATCAGTTAACCATACAGTAGTCATTACTGCCTGTTTGTGGTATCAGTTAACCATATAGTAGTCATTATTGCCTGTTTGTGGTATCTGTTCACCATACCGTAGTCATTATTGCCTGTTTGGGGTATCAGTTAACCATACAGTAGTCATTATTAGTCATTATTGCCTGTTTGTGGTATCAGTTAGCCATACAGTAGTCATTATTGCCTGTTTGGGGTATCCGTTAACCATACAGTAGTCATTATTGCCAGGTTGTGATATCAGTTAACCATACAGTAGTCATTACTGCCTGTTTGTGGTATCAGTTAACCATATAGTAGTCATTATTGCCTGTTTGTGGTATCTGTTCACCATACCGTAGTCATTATTGCCTGTTTGGGGTATCAGTTAACCATACAGTAGTCATTATTGCCTTTTTGTGGTATCAGTTAACCATACAGTAATCATTATTGCCAGTTTGTGATATCAGTTAACCATACAGTAGTCATTACTGCCTGTTTGTGGTATCAGTTAACCATATAGTAGTCATTATTGCCTGTTTGTGGTATCTGTTCACCATACCGTAGTCATTATTGCCTGTTTGTTGTCTCAGTTAACAATCCAGTAGTCATTATTGCCTGTTTGTGGTATCTGTTCACCATACCGTAGTCATTATTGCCTGTTTGGGGTATCCGTTAACCATACAGTAGTCATTATTGCCAGGTTGTGATATCAGTTAACCATACAGTAGTCATTACTGCCTGTTTGTGGTATCAGTTAACCATACACTAGTCATTATTGCCTGTTTGTGGTATCAGTTAACATACACATATATATCAATATATCTGTATAGGGACATGTACTCAGGGAGATAGTGTGGATTTAAGTGTTGTATATACATATACATCAATATATCTGTATAGGTACATGTACTCAGGGAGATAGTGTGGGTTTAAGTGTTGTATATACATATATATCAATATATCTGTATAGGGACATGTACTCAGGGAGATAGTGTGGATTTTAGTGTTGTACTAATATCTTTATATTCAACGCTTGGTAAAAGTATTAGTTATTTATAAGTTGTATATAAAATAAAATGTATTTGATGTGTGTTATCAGTTAACCATACAGTAGTCATTATTAGTCATTATTGCCTGTTTGTGGTATCAGTTAACATACACATATATATCAATATATCTGTATAGGGACATGTACTCAGGGAGATAGTGTGGATTTTAGTGTTGTACTAATATCTTTATATTCAACGCTTGGTAAAAGTATTAGATATTTATAAGTTGTATATAAAATAAAATGTATTTGATGTGTGTTATCAGTTAACCATACAGCAGTTATTATTGCCTGTTTGTGGTATCAGTTAGCCATACAGTAGTCATTATTGCCTGTTTGGGGTATCCGTTAACCATACAGTAGTCATTATTGCCAGTTTGTGATATCAGTTAACCATACAGTAGTCATTACTGCCTGTTTGTGGTATCAGTTAACCATATAGTAGTCATTATTGCCTGTTTGTGGTATCAGTTAGCCATACAGTAGTCATTATTGCCTGTTTGGGGTATCCGTTAACCATACAGTAGTCATTATTGCCAGTTTGTGATATCAGTTAACCATACAGTAGTCATTATTGCCTGGTTGTTGTATCAGTTAACCATACAATAGTCATTATTGCCTGTTTGTGGTATCAGTTATCCATACAGTTGTCATTATTGCCTGTTTCCAGGAAGGAAGACTCAATCTTGCAGAGTTAACCATACCGTAGTCATTATTGCCTGTTTGTGGGATCAGTTAACCATACAATAGTCATAATTGCCTGTTTGTGGTATCAGTTAACAATACAGTAGTCATTATTGCCTGTTTGTGGTATCAGTTAACCATACAGTTGTCATTATTGCCTGTTTCCAGGAAGGAAGACTCAATCTTGCAGCAAATGAGGAGGCTTGGATCATCATTGGACTGGAGCCGGGCTTGCTTTACCATGGATGAGGTCAGTGGTATTGATAGATCTCAGTGACCATAGATATTTATCATACATCACATAATTAACTGACAAGGGAGAGGTCCCTGCCACTGTTAGACACAGAGACCTCCCTCTAACTTCCTGTCACATTATCTTTACCTGTACCATGTTCCTATTTGTTACAGAAATTGTCATCTGCAGTAACAGAGGCCTTTGTGCGTCTCCATGACGAAGGTTTTATTTTCAGGAGTAAGCGCATGGTCAGCTGGTGCTGCCAACTGAAATCCGCCATCTCTGACATTGAGGTCAGTAAATATAGGTCAATGTCATTTGTTACTTTTTTTTCAGATGTTTTCATGTATTTTTCATTTTTAAAGTGATACATGTCTATGTGTAGAGATGATATTTTGTAGATTTTGACTTCTGTGACTTATGTAGAGATGATTCTTGACCTCTGTGACCTGAATAGAAATGATGATCTGTAGACATTGACCTCTGACCAATATATAGATGATGTTCTGTAAACTTTGACCTTTGACCTGTTTCTTGATGATTTTCTGTACAATCTGACCTATATGTAGATGATATTCTGGAGACATTGATCTCTGACCTATATGTAGATGATGTGCTTGGGACATTGACCTCTTACTTGTATGCAGATGATGGTCTGTAGACTTTGACCTCTGACCTGTATGTAGATGATGGTCTGTAGACTTTGACCTCTGACCTGAATGTAGATGATGATCTTTAGACTTTGATCTCTAACTAGTTTGTTGATGTTGGTCTGTCGACTTTGACCTCTGACCTTTTTGTAGATGATCGTCTGTAGACATTGACATTTGAACTGTATTTAGATGATGATCTTTAGACTTTGACCTCTGACCTTTTTGTAGATGATCGTCTGTAGACATTGACATTTGAACTGTATGTAGATGATGGTCTGCAGACTTTGACCTCTGACCTGTATGTAGATGTTGGTCTGTAGACTTTGACCTCTGACCTGTATGTAGATGATGGTCCATAGACTTTGACCTCTGACCTGTATGTAGATGATCGTCTGTAGACTTTGACCTCTGACCTGTATGTAGATGATAATCTGTAGACTTTCACTTGTCCTGTTTGGTTGATTATAGATTGAGGATCTCTCACTTGACGGTCCGACCAAAATAAAGTTGCCAGGATACGAGGAGGAAGTGGAGATGGGAACCATCACAACCTTCTCCTATCCAGTTGTAGGATCAGGTTTGTTACACTGTTTTCATTATGTTGAGATGTAACAGGGAATTTGATTGGTCAGTTGAAATAATTTGGGGTGGTATACCATCACAAATTTTCTCATTTGTATATGAAGCTTGGATGCCAATTTTTTATGACATAAATGACCCAACTGACCCTGACTGACCCCGACAATTGATTACTGATGCATCACAAACAATAGCATGATCCTGAAAGGTCAATGTAAGATGACCCCACATATAATGATCCTTATGTCTCAATTCAACAGGAGATTTTGAAGAAAATACACAAAAATACTTTAAAATCTTCATTCCTTTTGGTAGTTTTAGCTAATGTGGATTAGAATGGGGATAATTTGAGATTTGCAATGGTATATCATGATTATACTGTCACAAATTGATATAAGATATTTGTGACAGTATAATCGTGATATACTGCAGCAAATTTCAAAATACAGTACGATTAGCCCCTAAATATTATCTGGTAGCATTTGATTACCTTCGTTCCAGATGAGGTCATTGCTGTGGCCACTACTCGGCCGGAGACCATGTTAGGTGACACGGCCGTTGCTGTGCACCCTGATGATCCCCGCTACACCAACCTCCATGGAGCCAAGGTGTGGAACCCCCTGTCAAATCGGAGTTTCCCTGTGGTCTGTGACACGTATGTGGACCAGAACTTTGGAACAGGTACACAGTACACACTTACTCTGAAATAAAGGAAACTCAAACAAGGCTAATATCTTGATTTATGTGGACAGGAAAATATTGAAATATTCCTAATTTTGAAAATGAATGTTGACAACATTTTAGAAAGAAAAGAGAAAGGTTTTTCATCAAATTGTTCAAATCTAAATTAAATAGCCTGTTGTCACCTGTACCCCTCTAACAAGAATGAACAAAGGAAGTGCTTATGCTTACTGCCAACTTAATTGTTTGTTAAATATTTTTTTCATACAGTGTATATATTAAATATTGAAATGGTAGGTGCTGTTAAAATCACTCCTGCCCATGATCCCAACGACACAGAAATTGGTCGACGGCACGGTCTTCCCAGCATCAATGTCATTGATGATGAAGGGAAGATGGAGAATGTCCCGGAGAAGTACTGTGGTATGAAGAGGTTCCATGCACGGGCAGCTGTTATACAGGATCTCAAGGACCTGGGACTCTACAGAGACACACAGCCCCACTCAATGGTCCTACCCTTCTGTAGGTAAGATCAAGTTTCAACAGCTAAAGGGGACATACAATGGTCCTACCTTTCTGTAGGTAAGGTCAAATTTCAGCAGCGCAAGGGGACATACAATGGTCCTACCTTTCTATAGGTAAGGTCAAAGTTCATCAGCTAAAGGGGACATACAATGGTCCTACCTTTCTATAGGTAAGGTCAAAGTTCATCAGCTAAAGGGGACATAAAATGGTCCTACCTTTCTATAGGTAAGGTCAAAGTTCATCAGCTAAAGGGGACATACAATGGTCCTACCCTTCTGTAGGTATGGTCAAATTTCGTCAGCTTAAGGGGACATACAATGGTCCTACCTTTCTACAGGTAAGGTCAAAGTTCATCAGCCGAAGGGGACATTCAATGGTCATACCTTTCTGTAGGTAAGGTCAAAGTTCATCACCTGAAAAGCACATACAATGTTTAAAATAAATAGCAAAATGTGCCAGATAATTGATGGAAAAGTATCTTTCATTCATTAAAATATTTCTTCTTATAGAAATGCTGTTAATGTTTCAGTCGATCAAAAGATGTGATTGAACGACGTCTTAAGGACCAATGGTTTCTTAACTGTAAAGAGATGGCCGACCATGCAATCAAGGTAGGCCTAATATTATATGTATGACAGAACATATAAAGAAAATGGATAAAATCACAACATACTCAATTGTCACCAATAAGTGAGTTGTAAAGTTTATTTGGCCGACTAGTTTTGCTTCCAAAGTTGAGCCTTCATCAGGTAGTTAGCGAAACTAGTCGGCCAATTAAACTTTAAAGACACACTTATTGGTGATGATTGAGTATGTTGTGATTATATCCATGTTCTTTATATACAATCTGTAATCGCCCTGCATACCTTTTGGTATCCGTACTCATAGTGAAGTGGCCCACTGATCAACCCACAAACCTACACCTGTCTTGGCTCCATTACCTTACTTTTATGACAGAACATGTGATTAAGGTAGGCCCTATATACATATGACAGAACATGTGATTAAGGTAGGCCCTATATATATATGACAGAACATGTGATTAAGGTAGGCCCTATATA